CTGTCTAAATATGTTTCTAGCCCACAAGTGGTATAACAAGGACATATAGTAGGTAATTAGGTAACCATTAATTTGTCTTTATAACAGAAAATTAGTACAGTGCTTGTAATTGCGTAAATTATAAACATAGTTAATTTATATAAAGCTATATATATCTATTATATATGTATACCTATATTCTACGATCGATCAGTAGGTACTCGACTTTGTTTACTTGACGGAGAAATATTTCCAGTCAAGTAAACAAAGTCGCGGACTTAACCAATATTAGTTTAAGTACCTGTTAGAAGTGGTGGGGGTGGGGGGATTGTTAATATGGAGTCTAATTCGATTATTGCTAACAATACACTCTTGGAGGAAAGGAATTGTTAGTAATGGAGACTGTGAATCCCATTGCTAGCAATATACCCAACCAGGTCGACCTCCTCGCGGTTCTCCCTGGAAACTATCGTGGTTAATCCCTGATGAATTCATCATGATCGGCTAACTGGCCTGTTTTCATTCTCATCTATCACCCTTCACTGGTGCTCCGCCAGCGTATACCGATAGCGCAGGCGGGGTTACCATTCCATTATCACCCATAAAAAAAAACTTGTTTGAAGCGTAGACGTAGTATAACGTACTTGTTGGAATTATAATGCTGGAAATCACAGGCGATATTATTTTATATTCAGAAACCTGTCATGTATTTTTTATAAATTGTCTATGTAGTGCCGGCATAGAATCTAAGAACAAGGAATTACATAGAAGGAATGACAAAATAAAAACTAAATCATATAGTTGTCTCCTTTTTTCTTATGCAAATATAATTGGTAAAAAGAAGACGAAAGGTACGCCATCAGTTGTCATTTTGCTTATTTCATAGCAGGTTAGTGTATAGAAAATTGATGATATGTCAATTATTTATCAATGACAAATTTTACATTACTAAATTATATATTCGACACAGTTTATGTAAAAAGTATGCAAGTAGGTTGTATCTGAATTTGGTAGAGTTATACGGCCGTATAACATTTTCTATACACTAGCCTGCTTTTTTTTTTTTTTTTATACCACTGAGGTGGCAAACAAGCATACGGCCCACCTGATGGTAAGCGGTTACCGTACCGTACTGCTATGAATTGACAATTTTATTACTCCTTCTATATAATTCTTTGTTCTTAGCATAGTATAGGCCACCTCTTCCTTTCCTGTGGGTGTCATAAGTTCACGTTTGCGTCTGCTTATGCGCGGGCGTGTGTGCCTGTGTGCTTGCGTGCGTATGTGCGTTCGTTTATGTTTGTGTGTGTTTTTATATGTCATCATAGCTGTCAAATGTCTTTCACATTTTAATAACACTAATACAATAAAAAAAACATCAATCTTAAAAACTAGCAAAGGTCGAGGATATGCCTCGACTACCTCTGCGTAAATCAGTACATAAAACATCTTATGTCCAAAATTAGATATAAACTATCCGTGTACTAAATTTCATTCAAATCCTTCCAGTAATTTTTGCATAAAAGAATAATAAACATCCATTCATCGGTACAAACTTTCTCATTTATTACATTAAGAGAATACAACAATCATATAGAAAAAGTAAACAAGTAAAATGTCGCAATCAACGTCAATTCATCTACACAATAGCAAATCTTGGATGTATTTGCTATTGTGTAGTATTGTCATTATTCAACTGTGTAGTACCTAGTGTTTGTATAAAGGGCCCAATTTATTATATATCGCGGTTTCGTGTCTAAAGCTAGAACGCTGATTTTTAGTGGAACAGGTTGAGTGAGGCAAAATCTCTCCTAAGACTTAAAGGTTTGATACCGCTTGTAAACCTGGGACCATCGACAATTCTCATAGCTCGTCATTGCACCGAGTTGAAAAGTTCAAACTTGTATCTACATGACCTCGCCCATAAGAAACAACATTACTCCATGTGGGGTCGAATTTGCGATTATAAAGGAAAATAGAAACACAGGATAGTTTTCACGTCGGTCAATCAATATATCCCGGACACATGAACAAAGTAGCGTGTGAATAAAGAAAGAAAGAAAGAAAAGTAAAGTAAAGAAATAAATACTAAATTAATTCAAAGTATTCACAGAATTACACGTTTCAATCAAACGAACCTTTAAATGACAAGGAAACGGTAAAAATGTTTTCCCTAAATATATATTCATTAATTTGATCAATTTGATAGATAGATAAACTTTTTATTTGAGCCATTTATGACACACGTAAATTTACAAATGAGTTTATACAATCAAATTATTTACACTTTTTAAAATATACGACAAAAGATAAAATATGAAAATATGTTTTCACCAAGTGTGTCGCAGTGACCCAAATAGGCTACAGCTCAGTGATGGTTTTGCTTAAAAGCAAAGCACTGATTTTCAGCTGCAGCCTGAAGTTAGGCTACACGGACGCGTGCAACAAACCCAGAGTGTAACCTGTGTAACAAATTTAACAGCAAAAGATAAAATTGTATTATATAGATACATACTTATATAACTTATTTGTTTAGTAAACCTTTATTCAATCAACAACCCACACAATTCACTTAATTTTTTTATATTTTTCATTTTTTTCATGTAAATAGTGTTTATAACATAGGTTTAAAATTATAAGCTGCTCTGTCTAGACAGTTTGGGTTATCAACAAGCCAAAATTATTAAACAAATTCCATAGGGTTTCGACATGGAATCTCTTCTAATAATCACTTGATATTTTATTGAATTAAACAAGTACTAAAAACTGTTAAATTAATTACACTGTTACTTTTTTTATATATTTTAATTTTTTTTTGTATATGCATTCTTTTATTTTTTTTTTTTACTGTATACGTCTGTTGTTATTTGTGTGCTGTAAGTAATGCAAATAAATTATCTATCTATATATCTACTAATTATCCGTGTGGTCCCGGCATAGAATGGACCACCCCATCCTTAGCTGTAAGTGTTGTAAGAGGCGATTGAGGAAACCTAATGGTTGAAGGATGGGCAGCAGCGTCCTTCAATCGCCACCAAAGCCTAACTTTGGTTTCGAACCCGACTATCAAGCGTGGCAAATACTGACAAAACTTACTTTTTTTACTTAATTGTTTTTACATTTTAATAACCTTTTGTGTACAATAAAGAATAAAAGAAATAAACAAAACCGTTCTTATGTGGAAGACCTATGTTTAGCAATGGGCAGTTAACGGCATATGCTATATAATATAATAATGTAAACAAGCAAACAAAGTGACTCAATAGTGAACACATATTTATCAATGAACGAGATGTTTTTATAGAATTTTTTTTGATGGGTGAAAATGGTATGGTAACCCCGCCTGCGCTAATAGGATACGCTGGCAGAGCATCAGTGAAAGGTGATAGATGAGAAAGGTCATGATGAATTCATCAAGAATTAACCATGACAGTTTCCAGGGGAACCACGAGGAGGTCGAAATGGTTGGGTATATTGCTAGCAACGGGATTCTCCATTACTAACAATCCCTTTTCCCCCTATAAAATATATTCGAATAAAAATGTTTATATTTTCAACGCGAAATCATGTTTTTTTTATACAACTTAGAATGGCAAACAAGCTGACGGCCCACCTGATGGAAAGTGGTAACCGTCGCCTATAGACATGAGCATACCATGGACATAACAAAGTATACTGTTTCGCCCATGATACCCCCTCGTTATTATATTAATTACAATAAATTAATAAAATCAACTGCTCCACTGGCTTATTATTTCTCTAACAAGCCTACTGTAATTTTAAAGAGATAGCGAATTCTATAACTAACTACATCCATAATTTATTACGAATGATATCGAAGTCTGAATTTCGAATAGATTTGATTATTACAGTTGTTACCGTATAAGTTTGGTATCATAGATTAAGGACCCGTTTAGTACCTATGCAGATTAATACTTATTCTGTGGGTAATATTAATGAAGAAAATGATACAATACGATATTGCTATCATTTACAGGGTTTCAAACTTCAAAAGGAAAAACGGAACCCTTAAGGATCATTTTGTTGTCCGTCTGTCCATCTGTCAAGATTATATTCTGAGAAACACGTGGAGATATCAAGCTGAAATTAATAACAAATACTCAAGTTTGCAATCCCTTATAGCTGTGTAAAAATCAAGTGTTGAGTCAACATATTCAAAAGATACGGCCGTTTGTAGCGTATATTCTGACATTTGCAAGGGAATTAAAACCGATTGATCATTTTTCGTTGACTTATAATCATGAATAACTGCAAAAAGCAATATCGTACAAACACAAGTAAAGAGAAAAATCCGAAAAGCATAAATTTTATGGTTACATCAAATTTTTTTGTAAAACATTTTTTCAATTAAAGTTTATACGGAACCTTTGGTGCGCAAGATCGATTCGCTCTTGACCGGTATTTTTCTTTTTACTGAATTATAATGTAATAATATTAGGGAAACTTTTAACAAAAATCTTTATGTACTTCAAAGAATAACAATAGCTTTAATCATACAATTAATACTAGACAGACACCAGAGTAAACCATATCTATTTTAAAAAGAGTGAACGAAATCGATTCGGAATCGGCTCCACTATAAATTTGAAAGAGAGACGATTATAAAAAAGAGTCCTAGAGTCGTAGGAAACTATTTTTTATAATCTTCGCCTGTAGATATAAACAACACTGAACTTCACAGATTCCTATATTTTTCTTTTATTTAGAAAAAAGTATACTCTTTTTTTTTATTATAATCGTCGTCTATAGACACAAACAACATTGTGAACATAAGCCGTAGCTTGCTGCCACAAATTAAGTAGTTTTAATTAGTAAAAAAGTTTATTTTCTATTTAATTATCATCGTCGCTTGTAGACATGAACAGCACTGTGAACTTTATTCTTTATAATCGTCGCTTATAAGACATAAACAGCTTCACAATCACCACTGTCTGCCACCACAGATTAAATAAATTTGTTTTATTAAAAAAAAAGTTTACCGATTTTTTTTTGTTACTTACCTTTACAGCATTCATTTGCTGCGTGGCCGCTGTGAGGGCATCTCCGACGACTATTGCGAATTTGGACCAGCCAAACGCCTTTAACAGGGCCACCACAGATTTGCTGACTTTATACGCCGGCGGCAGCGTCCTCGCGAAAGTCGCGCCGAGACCCGCATTACCTTCGTGCGACGAGCCGCGAGCTCCCGTGCATTTCTATTGGAACAAAAAATATAATGATAATAATAATAATACATACATACATACATATCTGTCACACCTGTCTCCCATTAGGGTAGGCAGAAACAATGGAACGCGAAATGCTTCGATTCAAACAAACCTCTTTCGCTTCTTCCACATTCATCAATCTTTTCATACACGCTCGCCGGTTACGGGTACTTTTAATTTGGCCCTTTGATAATGATTTATTCAGCAAATTAACGAGACAAAGAAGAAAGTTTCTTGAGAGGCGATCCCTAACGGGCAAATACAGTGTAAGACGATCGCCCTCCACTAGATGGAGTTACGACCTTAAATGCATTGCATAGAGTCAGTAGATGCAGGTTGCTCAGGATTGTTCCTCATAGCAGCCTATGGGGGCGGCTTATATCGGCAGTGGACAGATAACAGATGGTTTGGAGACGATAATTCAGCAAATATTGTTACACTTACAAGAGAAGTCATAAGCCTTCTTTCGTGAGTTCTTTTGTTTCTTCTTCTAAAGTAGCATAACTTGTATAGGAGATGAAGCTATCAGGTAATGTCTCTACCAGTCAACCGTTACGGTAAACAGAGAGAGTAAATGGCGGTGCATAGATTTAAAAAAAAAATGTAAATTAAATAAATATTGTTAATGGGTAAAAAGGGAATATTAACCCCGCCTGGGCTATCGGTATACGCTGGCGGGGCACCAATGAGAGAAGATAGGTGAGGGTGACAAGAAATGAGTTGACACATGGTGATGAATTCAAAAAGAATTCACCGCGATGATTTCCAGATAGTGTGTAGAGGTAGACGTGGTAGACCTGATAGGGGCTAGCAATGGGGCTGTAAGATCCCTATTTATTTATTTATTCTTTATTGCACAATAAAACTTTGTACAAGTGGCGCTCTTAATGACATATGGCATTCTCTACCAGCTAACTATTAGGTAAAAACAGAAAGCGTATGAAGGGCAGAGGTGGTGAAAAATATGTGACATAATTATAGCAACATACGGAAATAATTATACATAATAATACATAATATTACCAGAGGGAGAATTTGTACAAAAGTCGATTGCTTGGGTACCTCTGTCCCATTCGTGTTTTTACCGTGAAGCAGTTGTATTTGCATGGCTGTGTTTCGGTTTGAAGGGTGGGATATGGCGTGAATTTACAGGGTACAGAGGAATAATATCTGAGTCCTCAGTAATGGCAACGCGTGGGGGATATCATGGGCGAAACAGCATACTCTGTTGTCCATGGTACTGCTTATGTCTATAGGCGACGGTTACCACTTTAAATCAGGTGGGACGTCAGCTTGTTTGCCATTCTAAGTTGTATAGAAAAAAATTAAAAAAACACATAACACAAATACTACTTATATTAATAATAAATTAAGTAGTTATACTAATATATATGAAATATATACACACATATACACATATACACATACATACATATACATATATATACACACATACATATATATACAAACATACATACATACATAAAAACTATGGTAAACATTATTATTACTAACAATCCCTTTCCACTAATTATTTTTGTGTGCATTAATTACATTAAATGTAACCGTGTAGGTCGCGACATATGTAGAATAGGCCACCCGTTCCATTCTCTTAGGTGTCGTAAAAGCCGACTAAGGGAACTTATGGTCGAGGGATAGGCAGCAGCGTCCCTCTTAAAACATCACCAATCCAAACTGCGGTTGCCAACCCGCCTGCCAAATCTGGCAACTAATGACAAAACCCCCCTTATGGGGGAGGCTATGTTCAGCAGTGGACAGTCAACAACTGATAAAATACAATACAAAAATGTATATAGACATGTATATTTTTATGTTATACAAAATTATGACAAAATTTTCAAAAATCAATACATATAATAAAGTTTTAGCCAATTTAACTGATCGGTTATTTCATAGCATTTTATATGTGTTTCTTTAAATTGATATAAGTTTTTTATTTATGAACTGATTGAAATTAAACAAACACTAAATGTTATGTTGAGCAAACCGCAACCCATTAGTGAAAACCGCATTCAAATCGGTTAAGTCGCTTCTGATATTAGCGTGCACATACGTACAGACAAACAGACAAAAAGTCTAAAAATCATTGTTTTGGGTTCTATAGCGTTTATAAAGCCCCCTCTATATGTTATATGTGTTGATGTTTCTCAAACTTTGCGATAGTAGCGTAGTGAGAATATTGCAGCTGGTATGTTTTTGCAGCTCATTTAAGTCCATTAATGTGAACAGCGACACGAAGCCGGCCGCCCCGGAGTTACTTTAAGCTTAGAAAATCCCCAAACTTGCAGCCGTTTGACAAACAATCCGTATAGTATGTATATGTTACAGGCAATGTATTAATCCGGTATTGTATAGAATACCTATGCAATTTATAGAATAATCATCATCACAGCTATTATCTGTTCACTGCTGAACATAAGCCTCCCCCTTGGAGAAGTTACCACGCTTGGCAGGCGGAAGGCAACCGCAGGTAGGCTTTGGAGATGTTTTAAAAGGGAAGCTGCTGCCCATCCTTCGCCAAGTATGTAACTAACAATCGTATTCATAATATTTCCTACATTCCCTGGAAGCAGCAGTTATTCTACACATAGATATTCTAGAGTAAACCTGAATTATATAGATTACCGGTAACATATGTACCAAGCATAATAAGAGTCTTCTAAACCAACCGTGTTTGTATTAGACGTAATTCCTTATTTTTATGGTGTTATGGAAGTCGGTCTTCAGATTATATTTTATTTATACCTTTAGAATATTAAAGCAAGACCAATAGTGAGAAAAAACCAAGAATACAATCCTAAAAATAGCTATTTTTTAGGATCGTATTCTTGGTTTTTTCTCACTATTGGTTTGGGTTACAGAACTCTATATTTGTGCTATGTATTTGATTGATTTTTATCTATTTGAAGTCTTGTAATCCTTATTTCTTCTTCTTACTAATATTGTCAATAAGTTTGTTTCCTCTTGACACCTTAACAGCTAAATTTGTTCTTATGAAATTATTTAGATTTTTTTTTATATCATAAAGGTGGTAAAAAAGCATCCCGCCTGATGGTAAACAGTCACTAAAGCCTGTGGACGACAGCAACTTGAATACTTCAACTAACGGAATATTTCACCGTGCTCTCACCAAATTGTTTATAATTACTTCTCTCCATCCAAAGGTAGGCAACCTGGAAGAGATCGCTTTTAGTGATAAGGTCACCCATTGTTTTCTCATTGTGATTATTTCTTGTAATTATTTATATTTATAATAAGTTTACTATTGTAATCTTTTGGAGGAAACAATAAAGAGTATCTATCTATCTACTTCATGAGTACAAATTAAGTCAACACACTACCGATGTGACTATCAGAATACACATAGACAAAGTCTCTTATCCTCAAAATCGCTTCACACTCGTCTACACACTGTAGTGGATCCTTTACCGTCCATGGTGCTTGATTGTGGAATTCGTTTCCTAAATCTATCCGTGAGAGCCAATCCCTAAATATTTTTAATAGTAAACTTAAAGAGCATCTTCTATCTTTATGTATATATATTTATTTTTCTGTATCTATGTATCTATATATGTGTGTGTGTGTGTGTATACAATTAATTATGATGTAATTAGTTATATATAAACTTAACTTCGTCTAATTCTTTTGTTTGAAAATTGTCACAATATTATATACCGTTTTACCCGCTAACATTGAAGCTCCATTCCACTTTGCTGGAAGAGAATTCTTTTAAAATTAAGCTCACCTTTGTATATTTGATTACGTCTGTCATATTTTTATGTATAGTTAGTACGTACAATAAAGTATTAAATAAATAAATACATTACAAAACTTTTGTGCAAAGACTCCCTCTGATATATGCCAGTATTCTGATAAAGTTATAGGCATAGCTAGTTTATCAATAATATGACATTTATTATATTACTAATATACATTAAAATCTATACAAACATTATTGTCTACCTAAATTTCAATACCTAGTTATCTACCACAGAAATACCTCTTTACCATAATTAATATTTAATGATAACGGAAAATGTTTTATAAAATATGTAATGAAAAGGTATTTCGCGTTTAATTTTAATTAATTCATAACAATTTTCTTATTCCAATCTCCTGTCAGTTTGATAATTAAAAATTTAATTAAAATATACCTATTGCAATTTAAAGAAAAAAAATTGCGCTTAATAAAAAAATATACTATTAAAATATTTTTATAAAAAAAAAAAACAGATAAAAAACCAAATTAAGGCTAATGCCCACTAGCTGTACTGCTCTTTTGCAGGGCCTTATCAAACCCAAACAGGCATGAAAATGAAATGTTGCCTCTGGGGTTATTATTTTGAAGTAACTTTCCTATTCCTTTGATGGTTATTCTTTTGGGTAGCAAATTCTTTCGTGATGTGCCTTGATGTGTAACTAATACTGATTATAATAATGAATACTCGATGATATACTCATAAGAGTAATTTAATATACTAATTTCTGTCATTCTGCGAGATTCTAAAAAGAAAATTTGGCCTTTTAATCCGGCTTCTAAAATTCATTGTCTTTTTTTCTCGCTTCCCCTTTAAACTTAACCTTGCTGGTTACTCTGTTTGAGTCATAGATTGTTTTATTTGCTCTTCTAATACAGTTAATTATTTATTATAGTAATATTTTACGTATTTATTTATATAAGTATTTATTATATGTATATTTATTTATTTACCTTACATATTATGTGTATGTTTATATTAGTCTAATTATATGTTTATAATGTATAAATATAAATCTTATCTGTATGGGGGGAAGGGATTGTTAGTAATGGAGACTGAGAATCCTATTGCTAGCAATATATCCAACCAGGTCGACCTCCTCGGGGTTCCCCCTGGAAACTATCATGGTTAATTCCTGATGAATTCATCATGATAGGCTAACTGGCCTGTTTTCATTCTCCTCTATCATCTATCGTATCCCGTTAGCGT